ATGATAGCCTATATGGAGAAAGGAAGAAAAATGGATGGATGGATGGATGGATGGATGGATGGATGGATGGATGGATGGATGGATGGATGGATGGATACTCTGCTTTTTCAACCTACTGTATTTTTTATTTTAAACATTATTTGATGGCCTTTGTGGCAGGGATGGAGATCCATATTTTATGTCACACACAGAGTATAGATAGATAGATAGATAGATAGATAGATAGATAGATAGATAGATAGATAGATAGATAGATAGATAGATAGATAGATAGATAGATAGATAGATAGATAGATAGATAGATAGATAGATGTTGCAGTACACAGGATTTCAGAATTAGACATCCCCATTTATTAATTTCATATACTCACCAGATCTGAATGCCCTGTTAAAAAACTTCACATGGCGTTCCCCCCTGATGTCATTTACGTTGAGTTGCAATAAATGCAAAACTCTCTGCAGGTTCTTGTCTTCCACTCTATTCAGCTGGCTTTGGAAACACACGGTGAGAAGGTGGGGGCTGGGTGGTGAGGGTTACGGGGGCGAGAAACGCAAAAGTAACGCAATAGTTACTTTTACTAGTAACTAGTTACTTTTATTGTGAAGTAACTCAGTTAGTAACTCAGTTACTTTTTGGGAGAAGTAACTAGTAACTATAACTAATTACTTTTTCAAAGTAACGTGCCCAACACTGTTTATTACCAGCTTATGTCATGTGAGGTGAAGACATCCTTGTTCCCAGTGAAAAAATTATCAAAGTAATCATTGCGATTAAAGAGTAAAGCATTAATATCCCGCGCTATAACTAACTGTCTGGAGCAAACGAGGAAGTGATGCATCACCCCAGTGGCAGCAGAGCTTCCTCTTCAGCCGCAGCCGGGAGTCTAAAGCAGCAATGAGAGAAATGAAATGTGAAGCATTTTGATGCGCTTTTAGGAATCTCTGCTTACAACATATAATCAAACCACAATGACTTGTGATATGTCTGCAATGTGTATATGGTATTCTATATATATATATATATATATATATATATATATATATAAGCAGATAAAGGTTGTGTGGAAAGCAGAACTATGGCATATTAGATATGAAAGGCATCTATAAAAAGAAACGGTCACAAGTTGGAGGCATAATCCAGAAGGAATGTAATAGACTCTCTGCTATTAATTTATTATATATTAAATACTGTATGTGTGTTTATCATACAGATGATGAAAATGTCATGATCTGGCCTGTTTGCTCCTCCTTAATTAGTAATTCCTCTCACCTGTCGTTTTCTCTCCCTGCCTCAGTTATAATTTATGCCTCTCACCTGTTTCCTTTGGTTTATATTCAGTTCAGCCTGAGCATTCAGTGCCAGATCATTATTTGTCTTTCTGTTAGCCTGTCTGTTAGTTTTATTCCTTGGTTCATGTCCTGGGTCCTGGCAGAAAGTGGAAAGAGAGTTTTTGTGTTTGTCTCGTCTCCTGATCGTCCACTGTTCCTCCCCGCAGAGTCCTCTGGGTTTTTGGCTCTATATGTGGGGAGGTTCAGTTTTTATCAAAGTAAGCCTGGCTCCAGGGAGGAGACCAGTTTAAAGGTCCTGCATGAAGTTCTGGTTCCACATCCTGTCTTGGCTACCCTCTTCCACTGAGCCTGCTCAGCTGCACCTGATCCTGTCTGCTCCTGTGCGTGACCACCTGGTCACGCTTTCCGACCCTTTCAGACTCTGAGCCTGTCCCGGAGCTCTGTTATTGCCTGGAAGCCTGGATCCTGCCACCTGTTCTGTTCCTGCCTGATCTGTATCCCTGATCAGGATCGGCTTCCTACAACCCACCACCGCAGCTCAGCCGCATCACTTGGGAAAAAAAAGAAGAAAATTTGATCACAGACAGGTTGAAGAATTACGAGTTTCAAGGTTATAATAGGAATACATCACTAGAAAAAGAGTTAGGGAAATGAAAGGAATCTGGGGAGTAGAAGAAGCAGGGGTGTTGTAGGTCCCAGGATGAAGATTTTATCATTTTAAGGGCCAGTAGAGAAATACAAGCTTAGTAATCGCTTGAGGAAGATTTAGGTAAAAATTTAGAGAACTGTTAGAGGTTCCGTTATGAGCCAGAAGAAAAAGAAGATTCAAGACCGAGCAGAAGTGGATGTCCGGAAGAAAGACGATTGACCAGATCAAACCAGGAGTGATGCTTAGAAGAACTCACAGGAAAAAATTGTCCAACCACTGCAGGGCAGAGTGATTGATTATTCTGATGGTCAGGGTGTAAAGATAGATTTATTTTGACTTATTCTGATAGTGGTGAGACCAGAAAAGAGGAAGTTGATGTCCAGAGGAGAAGAGGTAACCAACCGGAGAAGCTGATGTCCTGAAGAATTTATATTTTTGGGAGCTAAATCATGCATCCTTTCATCCCTAACATCCAACTAGGAGCCATGAGGAAAGGGATTTTGAGGTTTTAACTTAAGAAATATATTGATTTTAATCTGCCTTTTTTTTTTTATTCCTGCTGATATTATGCTATTTATTTTTTCCAGATGCTTTGTAATAAAAAGATTGTTACATTTTAGCTCCATGGAGCGATAATTTTTATAATAGAATTCTATAAAGTTAGTTGAAAATGTATTTATCTTTTCTTTACATTTGCTCTTCATTAAAAAGTTTAATTTTCTCCCTCTGAGGTTAAGCATGGAGACAGACTCCCACTTTGCAGGTGTGTATATTGTAATGGCATCATGGTAATGCAGCCAAACAAACCTGCAGTGTCTGGTTGATGCTATCATGCAACTACTGTACTAAGATGTATCTAATAAAGTGGCCAGTCAGCTCATTTTAACTCTATGCTGTAAAGACTCCCATTTTTTTCCCCCCATTTGGCTACATTGCAGTGCAAGATGCCAAAAAGCAGTAGTGAAATCATTCGGATTAACTGACTGCCAGGAGTCTTAATGTTTCTGTGCAGATTACGCTAGGCCTGAAGAGGAGCTGGAAGCAACCGTTCATACAGTAGGTGAAGGCTTTGGATAAGCTTTAACTTTCCATATTTCTGACCTGCATATTAAGGAGCCAAACTTTTTCAACTCATTTCATTCTCATCACCATAAGTAAAGCGAGGGACAGGCATTTCCTCAGAAACTTCTCTGAATGCAAAGTGCAAATAGAAACACAAGCATTTCTTGGCTATCTTTGAGTGTGTTTATGTGTATGAGGTATTATTATACCTCTAGTGTAGAGGCAATGTTTTTTTAACATACCGGTATCCTATATTGTGGGAAATTTAACTGGTCCCTATATGATAAAATTATCTTCTTTAAATCCAACTATATATAAGCCATCCGGATTGTACATACTTTTATTTCTTATTTTCTTATTTCTTATTTTTATTTTGTGTTTCATTGTGTGCGATACAGGTACACTTGCACCTTAATCCTTATTATCTTGATATACTGCATATACCTGGATATACTGTATATACTGTATATATGCTTATTCTTAATGCACCTTTTTCCCTCCTTGTTTGCACCTTCTTTAACTTCTATACCAATATGTGACGAGTGAATTTCTCCACTGTGAGATCAATAAAGCTCATCTAATTTAATCTAATCTTAAATAGGGTTACATTTAGGTCCAGGGTGTGAATTTAGTTTAGGTTAGGGTTAGGTAGTAATGTTAGGGTCTGGGTCTGGTTTGGCCATAAATGAATGGGGGCCTATGAAATGTTCCCACAAATCATGAAACAGAGCTGTGTATGTGTGTGTGTGTGTGTCATCCCCCATAAATTAAATGACTGCAATGCAAAAATAACAAAATTAATTAAATAATTAAAAAAGAAACATTTTATAATTGTTGTGTTTATTATTTTTATGTGGATTTTTTACATCTGACCAGTTTTTAACTCTGAGAGTGTATAAATATATGCTGAGGCATCCACACCATCCAGGGTTCAGATCCTGAGTCTACAACCCAGGGTTCTTTTGGCCGTCCTGGAGGCCCCTAGAACCTTGGACCAAAGTGAAGAACAAATAAGGAGGCTTTTTTTTTTTTCAAATACAATTTATAAAGAAACTCTTCAATTTATTGTTTTGTATGCATTTAAATCCAACAACATATTAGCAATAATATTATTAACATTTTCTTAAGTCTTATCTTTTTAAAGATTAGGCTGCAAACTGCATGTTGTTATGTCATTTAACATAAATATAGGAACTAATTGAAGTGACTTCTTCTCATAGTTAGAAACAGATGTTTTTCTTTGTTTCAAACTTGAATTGGAAATAGATAATAGAATAGAATATTATATGTGCTTCAACATTTAAGTAAGTACATTTTTAAGCTCTTTGGGTTATAGGTTTTCCGTCTCCTGTTTTAGACTGTAGAACCACAGCATATGCTTGCCTTCTGTGCATATGAAGCAGGATTTCAGGTTTATCATCCTAAGAGCCTAAATTGATGGGAACTTGCCTTTTTTGCAGAACAAAAGACAAGTGGTGGCCTAGTGGGATTTCAGGTGGCAGCCCACTGCTCCCCAAGGGGATGGGTCAAATTCAGAAGGGAATTCTCCAGTGTGAGATCATTAGAGTCAAATAATAATAATAATAATAATAATAATAATAATAATAATAATAATAATAATAATAATATTATTATTATTATTATTATTATTATTATTATTATTATTATTATTATAAATTATATTCACAAAATGAAATTATAACTCAGCAGGTGAATTATTTGAAATTTAAAATAACATTTAGTTGTACTTCTAATGCCTAAATAAATTTTAATAAATTAAAATTGAAAAAAAAATCAACAACCTAAAAGAGACTATTATCATGAAAGACTGAGCTATTAATGGTGAATGAGCTGAAACTGTAGGGGGCGCTGCTGATCTGGTGCCTTCTTCTATTCCATGTAAAGAAGAAGAGGAGAAGTTCCTCCATGGAAACGGGGGACGCTAGTCTGCTGTCGGTGAGAGTAAATAGTGAAAGCAGGAATAAACGTGTGATAAACAGCTCAGACGGTTGTTGGGAACCAGGCGGAAGATGTGGAAGGTAACGGGTCGGAGTTCGGCTCTGGACCGAGCCCAGGCGCTGTTGTGCGCCAAGAGGAGCAGCAGAGGAGGAGACCCTCCGACCGCAACACAACCGGTTCACTGTCCTCTTTTAAACCTGGTAAAGATCCACATAGATATATGCATATTGGAGAGATTAGAGCTGCAAAGGGAGTGCTGATGAGATCTATAACACGAAGATCTGGGAAAGAGCTGAGACACCAGCCATGGTGTTAAATAACAACCTCATTCACTTTACACTTCTATGAAGGATTTTAGAAAGTAACACAGCTCTTAGAAAACTCCAGTTACAGACTGGAAAAGAAGATTCTAATATTTTCAACTTCCATTTTTAAATTGCGCCAATTCACAAAACAATAAAGCATTTTACAGAGACAGTTCAACCAGATCATACAGTCAGGTTGGTTCCAAGTGTTCTAAGAAAATACAGTTAATTGCATCTACTCATTAACTCCACAGCAATCCCTCCCACCAAGCATGCATGTAGCGATAGTGGAGAGGAAAACTCCCTTTGAACAGGAAGAAACCTCCAGCAGAACCAGACTCAGTGAGAGCGGCCATCTGCCGAGGCTGACTAGGGTTCAAGGAGACAGAAGCAGAGCTACAAAAAGAAGTATAGATACAAAATGTAACTGTCAACTGGCTCCAAAGGCGCCCTCGTCCAGGAAACACAAAGCCAGGCAGACAAAGTCCGAGCCAGCTCCCATGTCAGAGGATGAGAGAGAACACATACAGTTAGTCACAGTCAGAGAAACAGGAATACACTGAAAAACAGGCCAAGCTCCAACATCTATAAACAAAGGTGTTGATGGCAGCAGAACACATTATATTTCTCTCAGAGAGATCAAATAGTTAGAGGTTGAACTAACAGATTCTGCAGAATGGGAGAATAGAAATAGAATGAAGCAGAATGATGGAAAGGGGTCCCTATGTCCTCCAGCAGTCTAACCCTGTAGCAGCATAACTAGCTCAGGATAACTTAAGACACACTAACTATAAGCTTTATCAAAAGGAAACTTTTAAGCTTAGCCTTGCATGTATGTGTATATATATATATATATATATATATATATATATATATATATATATATATATATATATATATATATATATATATATACATAGTTATATAAGTAGATTAATCTATTAGTAAAATAATGGATAGGTGCAGGTCTAAAGAGATGCTGTTTAAACATTCAGTACTTCAGTGTGAAATAGACTGAGAGCATGGGGCACTAAGCTCTGAATGGAAGTAAATGTTTTAAGGAAAGTTATCCGCGCCACTATGTGTGTAATCAGATTGGAAATTAAAATTATAACTTGTAAAAATCCTCAACATAGTAATGTTGTATTGAAGACCTCCATGGAGGCTGACCTTTACCACCTAGAAAATGATAAAAGGAGTGCGCTCCAAGTTCTGCTGATGGTGTTGTTAGCAGGACAGCTTCAGCTGAATGAACGTGTTTGAAGATACAGAAAATGGAAGCCGCTGCTTTAAACTGGAGGTCATCTTAAAATGTTATTTGCAACTGCTTTGTGTCAGAGTGGAGCACATAAACACAGCCGTTGATGTTTTCCTTCTGTTCAGGGCGGCTCCTTCAAATCTCCATCTGATCATCCAAACATCCAGACTCTCATGTCTGACCTGAGTGAGCTGTCCATGGAGAGCTCTGCCTCTTCTGCTGAAGCTGCCAGAAACACTCAAGAGGACCCTGAGAGGAAGGGAGGTCCCACCAAGGTGATTCACTGTGACATCATCATTAATCACATTATGCTGAATCATATTTATATATGTATCAATTATTGAAATATATAGTATTAGCTGAAATATTTAGGAAAAAAATGAACCTGGGAGGAGCTCAGAGTGAAGTCGTTGCTCCTCCACGTCGAAAGGAGCCAGTTGAAGTTACTCAGGCATCTGATGCCTCCTCCACTTGCAAAAATCCTTAACGTCAACCCTGCTACTACTGTAGGATGCAGCGTCTCCCAGAAAGATCCTGGATTAAATCCTCTCATTTGTTGAGGCTCAGCACCGGGCTACAGAAGTTCAAAATTGGCTGCAGGATATCTATGAAAATTCAACATGGTGGATTCCCATGATTCCTGATGGTGCCTGACTACTCTGAGGAGACGTCACACAGAAGGAGGATCCCTGATTATGGGTCCTGAGAGACTCCTCATATCAGGGCTCTGAAGGAGAAGATAAGGAAGAAATTTATGCAATTATTTTTCAGTGAACCAGGCTTTAGGTGAGATACAGCAGAAAAGTGGCTCAGACCCACAAGAGCATAAAGTTCCATGATGCTGTGGGCCTGTACTGAAAACCCTGTTGGACAGCTCTCCATGATGGAGGCTGCAAATACAGCAATGCAGCTGTTTTCAGTTTGGTGAAAATAAAAATGTTTTCCCTTGGCAAGACACTTTAGTGTAGGAATCTGTAAAGTGAGAATATGAGAACTTTGACTGTTCAGACTGGCTCTTTGTATTTCCAGTCTGTTTACCACTGAACTGTGAATGTTCTGGTTCCTTCAGGATCTCAGGCCTCAGAGTTCACTGGGAGAAGGAAGCAGGTTCCTAAAGAAGGCTCCCAAACCAGCGACCAGCAGCCAGTCACCCGTCAGCAGGAACCAAAGCCAGCCGGTGGTAGAGTCAAGGTGAACCTCTGATCCTCTGACATCAGAGCAGCCATATTTCTCCTTCACCTCTGTACTGGAAAAAATAAAATATTAAGTTATAAGTTATTTTTTCCTAAAATAAGTGCATTTGTTCTTTGAGGAACAAATTGAGGAGGTAAAAGAGACATTTTGCTAATGGAAGAAGACAATTTTCATTTAAAATACTAAAAACATAATTGCATTGTCTTATTTCAAGTGCATAATATCTAATTATCTTATTTTAAGAGTAAAAATCTTCAGTCTATTTGCAGATCATCTCATTTACCTACTCAAATTAAGAGTAAATACACTTAATTTAGGACATTTTTACTTATTTCTAGATCGTTTTTGCAGTGTGTCTGTTAAACGTTTCTCTAGTCTGTCTAACATCCAGACAAATGAACGGATCTCTGTCGTCCTCTTTGTCCAGACGGGCGTCGTCTCAGGCTCCAGCCTGGCGTCGACTGGCTGAGATCGAAAGCCGTGTCCGGAACCGACAACAGGAGCTGCAGCAGGCCAAACGGGCCACGCAGGCAGCGGCCGTCCAGAACACCGAGGCCTCCGTGGAGCCGTCAGAAGACTCTGACTCCGAGCAGAGCCGCAAGGGAAAGCGCTTCCTCAAAAAGACGTCAGCAGCAACCGCTGAAGGAACGGACGCTGCTCCGCCTGCAGGCGTTGGCGACAGGTCCAGATCAGGAGGCGGTTCTGCTGAGATCCGTTCTGGAGGGTTGGAGAAGAAGCAGAGGAGAGAAGGGAGTGCAATAAATCTAGAGAGTGATGAAGAAGACATAAAGGAACTGCTAGGTGACTCTTTCCACAGACTTTCCTCAGGAGGAAGTCCACAAGTGGTGGGTTTGCTTTCTCTTCTTGCTTCCTTTTCAGGTCACCTGACCTTTAACCCCCTCTGATCTTAGCATCTTGAGCCTCTCAGTGACCTGTTCTTGGAATTCTTAACGCTGTTCTCTCCTCTCTTACAGACACTTAGCCATCCCGATAGGAGGGTGGGAAGCTCCGCCGCTGCCGGCCCTCCATCGTCCTCTAACACCGCACCGCCTCGCTCTCCTGCGTCTCCTTCACATCGCCGCTCCCCGTTTCGATTCACCGGCCAGGCCCAGGTCCAGTTCAGTCCCTCTGCGCTCTCCCCATCGCCTCCTCCCCCCGACCTCCCCACCTCCCACCCAGAGAGGCCGGGCTCCTCTCAGAGGCCTGGGAGTCGGCAGAGCTCCCACTCGTCCTCTGCTGAAGTGCTTTCTCTGGAGGAGTTGTTCCCGGTGGGACCTGACTCTGACCATCAGCACAGCATCCTGAGTTCCGTTTCTTCAGAAGGTGAGTGGGGGCCCCTCAGGGGGCCGCATGACCCTTTAATCATGGCTGCATGTTAAACCGTCACAGAGCTTTAACAGCCAATCAGCTGTTCCTCTATCAGAACCACTTGTTTATTCCTGATGATCTGAGCAAACAGCTATGATCTGATTCTCTTCACAGTGTCAGCCATAGTCCAACTGTCTATGGGGAGAATTTTGTACCATTATTGTGACAAAGAACACGTTTTGTGAATAGAAATTTGAAAAAATATGCTACCCAAAAATGAAGCTTTTAGAACCTTCTTTAAATATGAAAAAAAAGATTTTGAAGAAAACAGATTTTATGTTTTCATATGGCTTTCTTTTCTTTTTTTTCCCATACTTTCTTCCCAAAAAGAATCACGTTTTACTTCTTTATCTTTTCAGATTAAATTGTACAAATGGTATTGTTTTAAAATAGCACTTTCCAGATCACCTGCGCTTCATTTCTGGGGGCGGGCTTTCCTCTGGAGTGAGGAGCGGAGGTGCATTTCTATTGGTCGGCTGGACGTCGGGCTTGAAGTGAACAGAATGTGATCAGAGAAACACGATATCAGAAGAATGAAATTCAAAAATCTCAATCTGAAAAAGAGAAATGAGAAAAATGACATTGAAAATCGAAAATCTAGGAAAACAATTAAAAAAGTAAAGCAAAAAATATGTTTTTTCTTTTTATTTTTTTTATCTGAGGAAACAGCAAAGTTACTCTGGAAACCTTTTTCAAAGATTTCAAGAGTGTCCTGTTAAACTCTGTGAGGTGGACAGTGCCTGTACCTTCTGTAACGCAAAGGATTGTGGGTAACCATACAGCTCCTATTGGTGGCTAGGAACATCAGGAGCTTTGTCTGCTAGCTGCATTAGGAAGCATTCTGCTCCCTGTTCCTAGCTCCTTCCTAACCTCCAGCCTTATTCAGACGGCTCTTATTTTAGCGACAGTGGAACAAACATAGCCTCATGAGACCATCCCGATCTCGCGAGCTTTTAAGGTTTCACTCGCTAATCAGTCTGGAGACTCTCCGTTGAAGAAAATTTGGAGCCGTTCACCAAACGAACGTCCAATCAGCGTTGGCTTTGAGGCGGGTTGAAGTGTGACGCAACGAGAAGCGCGACAGTTCAGTCTAAAGAACATGGCGGCTTCAGCCGATGGAACTAGCGTTAGCGTGGCTATCGAGCAAGTTTTATCGGAATTACAGAGTATTTCTTCACTGAAAGAAGAGCAAAACACTGCTCTGGAGGCTTTTCTCAGAGGAAAAGATGTTTTTGCTCTTCTCCCGACTGGTTTCGGCAAGAGTAGCCTGGCTTGTTGTTGTGTTTTTGTCGTCGCTCTGTTAGTACGTCATACGCTTCGTTGATCTGATTGGTTTATTTGGCCCGTCTATCACCAACATGTCAGGAGTCAGGTTAGAAGCATGGCTTAACCCCCGGCTCACACCGACTCCGGTCTTACCGTTGCGGTGCGGTGGGTGCGGCGCCGCAGTGATTCCAAGTCATTAAAAAGACGTAAACCTCTCTCACCGGCTGCTGAGCTGTCCGGCTGCGGTTACCGAGACACTCCGGCGCTGCAGAAAATTCAGCAAGAAAGCTATCCTTGCGGCGTGCCGGAGCCCTCCGCAACAAGCTCTCGCAAATATCCTTATTTAGGCCGTGTTATCGCGTGAAGTTACGTGAACTCAAGTGAACTTCTGTTTAAATCTCCGGACCTGTTGCCGGAGCCGCAGAGCCGCACCGTAGTCAAAAGAGCGGTGTGAGAGGGGGTGTGCGGGAGTTGCGGTCTCCGTCGGCTCGGTAACCGCACCGGAGCCAGTGTGAGCAAGGGGTAAGCCCCATTGACATTGGCCTTTTGAAACCGTGCTGAAATCGGTCCAAGCACGGTAACCGAGATAACTGTTGAGTTGCTGTTGAATGGCACGCAGAACTGAACCGGACCGTGCCAGAAACAACCAAACCGCGCTAACATGGTACCAGTTCATCAGTAGGGCTCAGGGCGGTTCAGTTCTGGCTCGGTTCTCAGATAACGAATAGCGCATTAGCAGACCGCGTCCTCTCCTTACAGTCAGCCTCCATAATCATCAGGGTTTCTGCAGGTCATTAAAAATCATTAAAAGTCATTAAATTATTATTTTTTAAATTAATTGGCATCAAAATTCATTAAATGGGACTATCATGGCATTTAAAATCATGTATAAAAAAATGCACATTTTAACATAAGTGGCTGGAAAACGAGAAATTCGGGACATGGCTGCAGCCTGTCGATGGTAAAGATTACGAAGGACTAAGAGTAATGGGTACTTATTGATGGCATTAAAATTATTACTAAGAGCATTAAATTAGAGTTGCTCCTTCCTGTATAAACCCTGATCATGACATTTCAGAGATTCATTAAAATACTAGCTTCCCTCCTGTGCCAAATGATTTCCAGTGATGATTGTGCTTAGCAGTGTGATGAACCTAAACGTATGTTCTTATTTCCTGCGTCTGGAAACCCTGATTACACTATCGTTTATTGTATACACTTCCCAAAAGTCGACTCTGTCAAGGCAATTCACCAAAGGCTGCCTTCTTCTCCTGACTGTCCGCAAACAACTAAATATCACAATTATAACCAAACTTCCTGAATTGGCGCCGCCATGTTGGTTTGCTAGTTTACCTCTAGATAGCCGTAGTACCGTAGATCGTCACTAGGAGGCGAGGAACCGTGGCGTGCTAGCGTGTTGTGTAAACGGTCGTAAGGAACGGAACGCGGCACAGTTAACTGATCCAAGCTTGATCTGAACTCCTCACGGTTCGGTTTTCAGAGGGTGGTGTAAATGGGGCTTTTGTGTCCTTACTTATTTGGGTCAGTTGCCATAGTAACAGAATCAGAGGGAGCCAGCTTCATAAAACCCAAATGACAACAAACTCAACCAGACTTGGCCTGTTTTATGAAACAGCTGTCAGATTCCTAATGGTAAGAACATTCAGTCTATAATTTTTCTCCCTCAATGCGGAAACAAAAGCCATCAGATGACTGGTTGGAGCTAGCCTGACGTAGTCCTACTCAATTCTAGTCAGAATATGAGTCTGATGCTGCTCCATAGAGCTGTGATTATGGGGCGTGTTTCGAACGAACCAGGAAAAAAAATGCCTCTGCACTCAATTGGATAGACCTACAACCAATAAGAGCAACGGAGTGCGTGACGGATGTTAAGCGAGGCGTAGTTGTTGTCAACAAAAATCAAAGCGTGCAGTTGCACGCATAGAATAAGAAGATGAGCCTTGATCGCATTCCTCTGTTCCTCTTTTAAATTAATTTGCTGTCGATATCTTCTAGAACAGACCTGATAGCAGAATCTACACACCTCAACTCTCCAGCGGCAGCCATTGTTGTTGTCACCCAAGCGCGCTTTGGTCACGTGGTTGATTACGTTACTGTTGATCATCTGTCCATCATTGTATAAAGCCCGCCCTGACAATTTGATTGGCCCGCCATATATTGTGCAAGCATACTCGCGCTACTACTAAGCAATGCCAGACCGAACTTCCCGACCTCAAACGTTGTGGGCGGGACTAAGTTAGGAATGGCACCCAGGCTAGGTTGGAGCCTGAACCACTGTGAAAGTTTCTGAGGTATTACGTCTAGATACTAAAAACAGCAGGGAGATGAGGTCCAGTGTTAAAGCCTTAGAGTTGAGGAGAAGCCTGAAGCTTCCTCCATGTTGGTTCTGCAGATTTCCGGATCAATGTGAGGACACTGGATGAGCTCATCCCTGCATCTACAGGAGCTGCAACAGAGGAGCTGGAAAAACAGGTGAGAAATGAAAGAAGTGCAGTGAAATAAACTTTAATAAGATCAGTGTTTTCTTTCTCTGATGTTTTTAAATTCATTAAAATGTTGTTGCTGCTAAAACCGAACCACTGCAAGCTGGTTGACCCGGTTCCTGGATCACACGAGGAGGAAGAGGTGGTGCCGGACTATCAGAGCGACTTTGATTCTAGCGTCGGGCAGATCTCAGAGCACCTGGGAGATGATGATGATGATGAGAAGGAGGAAGCAGAGGTCAGAGAGGAGGTTTCCACGACCGAAAAATCTCACAGCAACCCAGATGACGATTGTTCCAGCGCTTCCTTTGAACCGAGTCGCTCCAGTGTCTCCTGGACTTCGGGTCGCAGTCAGAGGTCAGAGTCGCCGCGCAGCAGGCGGAGCTCCTCTCAGCGATCAACCAGGAGGAGCTACACAGACGCAGCCGTACAGACCCACCCCGATCCAACTGGTCAGTCAGCCGCACATCTGGACAGTCCTGTCATCAATCATTCAATCTTCTAACCCTGGTCCTTTGTTTCTCTGAAGGTGTGGCCCCTGTGGACCCCACAGTGAGCAGGATGTACCTGAAGCCCATTCCTGCTGTCAGTGCCGAGAGACTGGAAGGTAGGTCTGCTGCTTCTGGTCCACTACAGGGGAACTGAAAACCAATTAGGGGCTGATTTTGAACCAAACAAGTGTAAAAGTTCAACAAAATGTGAACATGATGGTGATTTATCACATTTACCTATAAGAAAGGAGCTCTCCTCCTGTGAGGACGGCTCCGTTGGATCTTCTAAACCGTCCTAAAACGTCCATCTCTGACAGCCTTCCTGGACCTAAAGTGGCGCTGTGTCTCCATCTGTCGACAGATTGCATGGATTGCAGGATGCTTTGCATGAGATTCAAAAGTCCTGTTATTAGCCGTTACCACGGGAACAGTAATATAGCATCCAGTAATACATGAATGAAGATCAATGTAGTATTCCTTCTATAAAGACTCCAAAAACTTTAAACATAAAAAAACTAATATTTCACTTTAAGTTAACTGTATTTATTGACCATAGAGACAGAGTTTATAAACTTCTAAAGAGAAGCTTGGTTATTATAAATAAAAATTTCTCCATTTTTACATTTTGCTTCATTCAATGCTTCAGACGTTCTGTAGACTTTAGGCCATATCCCCGTCCTGTTCAGCACAGTAGAACTCAGTATTCTTTCATTTTAGCAGCTTTGCTGATGAACCATCATGGCCTTCATCAAACCATCAGCCAATGAGGTCACACTCACCGTCATTATTCCTTCTATTAACAGAGTTCAAAGGGGGGAAATATGCATTAGCTTAGAGGAGCAAACAAACGTATTAGTTTATGATGATGAGTCCCAGATATGTTATCATAAATGTGTTTTGCAAAGCATCATATAACTTTCAAAGGCACCATTGTGAAGGAGAACAGCTGAGCTGCTGTTGAATTAATGAATCCTGGGAAAGTGATGAAGCGGCAGAATCTCTTATTTCCTCTCAACAACAGTGACATCATGTGGTCCTGCAACATTATCACCTTTGACTTGTAGTTTATGTATTTCTGTTGCCCATTAGAACATCCACAGGGAATATTATCAAGCTGTTTTCATTTCTGATTTACAGCCATCAGCCTGTTCAACCCGGCTGGATTCGCCCTCAACGAAACGCTGAAACAGCAGCTGGCCATGACCAGGCGGTTCATGGAGCGCAGCGATGAGCTCCACGCCGCCCTGCTGAGGAGCCTGGAGCCGCCTAACTACAGATACACCACGCTGGAGGAGACCATCCATGTAAGGCTAACACTCTCTTGGGGGTTTTTTTGTTCATCAACCGTCCAGCCTTTCTAGAAATGAAGATTAAGGTCAACTTCAAAGTTATGTTGTTAAATGAATTGAAGCAGTAAGGAGATAAAGCGCTAACACGGCACTGATGGGAGGGCGAAGCCATGAGGGGGATGCAGCTAACATGGAAGCCGGGCGTCCAGATCCAATAAAACCAACATGGAACTTTTTGACCCACCTAAGACCCCAAAATAATCCAGCAACAAACTGATGACCCCCTAATAAGACATGTTCACCTAATTAATTCATCTATATTCATTCCTACATATAAAGTAATTCTATATTTTTTAAATAGATTAATTCATCTTCATATTTAATACTTTTATGATTCTTTTTGTTTATTTATGTCATGGGGCATCTAATAATTGTGTGTTTCACAATGAAATGGTTCATTTCAATGGTTTAATGTGAAATGTACAATCTATTTACTTCATGGTACATTCATTTATTTCATGGGCCATTCATATTTATGTATGTATTTTTATGTCCACCACTGCAGCTCTGGAAGTTTGTTGTAATTTAGAGCTTTTTATCGTTTAAGTCTGAGTTTAATTCACTGATTCACTGCAGCAGGATAATCCAGCATCAGAAAGTAGAGATTAGTTCCAACTATTTGCATTTCCAGCTCTACAGCAAGGACTAAAGGCAAATGACCTGGTTAAGTTAACAAGATGAAGGAAACTAGGCTGCATTTTTAAATTTGTGGACCTGGATTATGGAACAGTGGATTATTCACCTCTGCTGTTCACAAAGAACAGGACTAAGAGAGAGAGCAAGGAAGAGTTGCACCAAAGTAATGGTAGAAATACAGCAGGTCAAAGGTTCATATTCAGCTCTGGGGCCTGTTTCAATAAGGAAGTTCAACCAACTCTGAGTTAAAACTTGAACTCTGAGTTGACTTATCCTGAGATTGGAAACTCTGAGTTTTGGGTTTCAGAACAGCTGAAATGAGTTAGTTCAATCAACTCTAAATTGACTGACTCTGAGTTAAGTGCGTGCACCACAACTATAAAAAGCCATTATCAATGGAGCACAGATATAACGAGTCACCATGGCAACAGCGTCAGACAAAAAAAGGTGTGCATATTTCTCACCAGCAGAACTGGATGTGCTTATGCAAGCATATGCAGAATTTGAACATGTATTTAAAAAAAAAGCAACACGGCTGCAGCGGCGAAGGAGAGAGAGTTAGCTTGGGTGAAAATAGCTGCTAGAGTCAATGCGTAAGTTTACATTTTAATTACTTTTATACAGTGTTGGGTGTAATGAATTAAGTTACTTAAGTCATATAAATACTGTAATTTAATTAAAGACTATAAAACAATAGTGGATTTAATATCAAATTTTAAAAAGTATATTTTGATTTGAACTTTCTCCCTCTAGTTACACACTTTGGTCAATTTAAGATTAATTCATGCAATTGAATATTGTTTATTTGAAAGCATTAGAAGTGCAGTTTCTTGTCTCTCCTTGTATTGTTCAAGTGGTTGAGGTTGATTTGGGATTTAGAAAGTAATTAATAAGTAAGTAAAACAAATTAGTAAGTAGACCAATACTTTCTAGAGACAGTAATTATTACATTAATCTAATTAGACTTGTTGAAGATAAAATTTGTAGTTAGTAATTAAGAACTATTTTAGAGTAACTTACCCAACTGTTATAATATCAGAGGTGAAACTGGAAGAACAGTATTTTATTAAACCTAATTTAGTTTTCATGGATAGGTGCAATCCTGCAGGCATCAAAAGAACATGGCGGCAGCTGAAAATGAAATATAAAAACATACTTCAAGCAGGTAAGCCTTGAGCACATCATGGGAGTAGAGTAGCTACCTGGCTTTACAAACAGGATCATCCATAAAAGGACATGCCATTTCATTCCCTTTGATGCGCTCTACGTGACTGAAATGTGTGCAATGAATACTGTATGTCCCCAAAGAATCAATGAGGTGTTTAAACACCACTTCCTCTTTAAAAAAGGGGAGGAGACCAAAATAAACTCTGGATTTTCTGAAGAAAACCTGCTCCCGACCAGGTTAGGTTCACAGAGTAAATTCCCATGGTAACTGACTCTGAGTATAAGTTACCTCTCTTTCAGAAACGGGCTTGACTTACTCTGCTTTCTCAGTTTTAACTTACCTCCCTTTCCGAAACAGAAAACCCAGAGTTTCCCTCATTTCAGGGTTAACAAACTCAGAGTTTTCACTTAACCTCCTTTCTGAAACAGGCCCCTGGTAGACTCATTCATTCATGTATGGAGTGAATTTTGTTGCATTTTTGCAATCCAGAAATAAAATTGGTAAACATTTTAATGAAAAGGTTTTGTGTGTAACAATGCAGCTTTCTTGTTTTTTTTTTATCTTTTTTTTTTTCTTCGAAATTCTGTATTTTGGATTGAGCTTCACATTCTCTTCACTTCTGGGGGCGGGACTTACCTCTGGAAAGCAACGCAAAGAAGCATTTCTATTTGTCTGCATAAATGTTAGCAACAACATTTTCTTGGTCAAGAGAGAGCATCAGTATAGGATTTAAAGTGGAGAGAACGTTATACTGTATGTAAAATGCAATTTGAAAAGAATTATATGCATAAAATTCAATCTATAAACATAAATTAACATAAACAACAAAAAATGAAATACAATTGTACAAAACAAACTTCCAAATTTTAATTTACATAATTTTTTTAAGTTTCTATTTCCAAAAAGCGTTCTTTGTGTTCAACTATACCAAAATTCACTCCATATTTATTTTAGTCTCAGTTTAGCGTTGCAAACTAAACCTCCTAAATACAGACTGTCCAAACAGCATCCATGATGAAACCTTATGTTTTCTTTTCCCACAGAATATTCGAGAGCACAGATATCACAAATGTAGAGTGGAGCAAACTTAGAGTCGGTCCTGCAGGAAGTGATGCGACACCACTGCTGCTCACCACTTCAGCCACAGACACAGGATGCCTAACAAGAGGAGAACATGGTGATAATGGTTGGATTTCAACAATTAAGAAGTGAACTGAAGGAAGAGAACTCTGCATCACAGCTCAGTTTAAGTTGGAAAATGACGTGAGGACCACTATGAGCAACATCAGATGTAGAGTTGTTCAGATTCTGATACCAGTATTGGAAATGTTTCCAATACTGCAGAAAACGGCGGCATCGTATCGGCGAGTGTTGGAGTCCAGGCAACGATCCCATACCATGTTATTTAAAAGAGCAACTGCTCTTAAAACATTTGCTCTGTGCTGCCACCTGCTGTTTTAGACGGTGAAGAACTGAACACCTGACACCTGTCCAAGACGGAGCTTGCTACTACTATTACTGATTTTTTTATACTGTTCTTTAAAAAAAAATAAATGGCTTAAACTATTATGCTATGCTATTTTTATTCCCGTTTCCATTTAAGGGTTTAACCTCAGACAGAACTTACCACAACAACAATCACAGTCATGCAGGCGTAGTAGGATTTTATTTATATATATTTATATTTATCTGTATCAGCAAGTACCAACAAATAGGCAGAGATGGGGGATCTGGAATCAATAAGTCATCTTTAAGTCATGTATTTATTTTACCCAGCCACGTAACCAGGTGAGTCCAATCTGCACAGGTTAATTCCCTCTGCAGGTTGGACTCACCTGGTTCAGTGGCTGGGTAGAACAAATACATGATATAGAGATGACTTGATGGCTCCACATCACTCATCTCTGCAAATAGGGCGTGATACCATTTTGAGGGGCCAAAAGTTAATTCAACTATTGTCACCCATTCCAGGTAGGCAATAAAATGTTCCACGGGATTCACTTTGTATTAGTGCAGCAGGTTGATAAAGCCATGATGGTGATTATTTTACATCCAAGTAGTATGCAGTTCTTCATATATACACACATCAATTTCAACAGATTGTATCAGCCAATACTGTAGTCAGGTATTAGGGCCAAAAAATGGCACCGGCGCAACACTGATATATATATATTTACTGGCATCAGTCGATACAGCACAAGCATTGGAATCATAGCGGGAGAGAAAAAGCAAAGAATGATCAGTGGACAGTGATGGGAGTAACGGCGTTAGTAACGCTGTTACCTTTTTTTAGTAACGAGTAATCTAACTAATTACTTTGACTGTAACTAGAACGCAGTTACCATTGCCGACACGCCGTTACTGCGCGTTACTCAGGTCGCACAATTAACCTTTTTTCATGATAGGACTCGTGCGCGCCTTGTCGTGAGAGAGGGAAGGATGAGAATGGCTGCTACGGGTGTTAACGTACAGCACACACAGAGAGATGGAGAGTGAGGATGACTCCAGCAGCAAAACAGCGTTTTCCAGATGGAAATACCGGTGTTACGTCGAGCTGCGTTTCCCCATCAGATTCGGTTTCCCCTGCATCTCCGCACAGTGCAGGCGGAACGATTCACCAAGCGACAGGAAACGCGCATGCTCGCTAAAGGCGCGCAACAGTCGCCCTGTGCTCATGCCACAGGAGAACTATGGAGAGCGTGAACGATCAAATGAAAGCCTATATAGAGAAAGGGAGAAATCTGGATGGATAGATAGATGTTGCAGTATCTATAACAACCCAAACAAACAGGATTTCAGAATTAGACATCCCAAGTTATTAATTTCATACTGATCTGAGCGCCCTGTTAAAAAACTTCACACCCATGAGTAGAGGTAATGCAGCCTGATGATATATACACCGCATCAGATACCGTTCCCCCCATGTTAAGAAGAGGGGAACGCTATCTCAGCGGTTTATAGGCCCATCAGATAGCGTTCCCCCCTGATGTCATTTACGTTGAGTTGCAATAAATTCAAAACTCTCTGCAGGTTCTTGTCTTTGTCGTCCGCTCTATTCAGCTGGCTTTGGAAACACGGCAAGAAGGTGGGGGCTGGGTGGTGAGGGTTACGGGGGCGAGAAACACAAAAGTAATGCAATAGTTACTTTTACTAGTAACTAGTTACTTTTATTGTAGAGTAACTCACTTTTTGGGAGAACTAGTAACTATAACTAATTACTTTT